CAACAAGAATTTAAATAGGAAGAAAAAAAATTTAATTATTATTTATATAAATTATTAAATTTTTATGTGAAATGTATGTATAAAAGGTAAAAAAAGTAAAATTAAGTATACTAAAAATGAATAAAGGGAATATGTTAAATTTTTATTTGAAATTCTTATTTAAAAAATTAAATTAACTATTAAAAATAAATAGAATGAATAATAATAATATTAAATAAAAATTACCATATACTGAAATTATTTAAATATAATAAATTATAGTATAGGAGGTACTTGCAAATTTTTTAACTTGTTAATTTATTAACATTATTTAGGTTTTTAATAAATAATTCTAACATCTTAAAAATTATAAAAAAACTTTTGGGTTTATTGCAATCCCTTAAAATAAGGTTAAATCTAATAAATAGTTTATTAATTATTATTTTTTTATCTATTTTGTCTATTAATTATATTTTGTATCTAACTAATCAATTAACTTTCAAAATGATATCATATTTGTCCAATCTGTTAATGCTTTGTCTATGAAACTAAAGAAAATTCAAATTGGCACCCTTGTGGTCCCAAATTAGCTACTATATAGGCAGTCACGTGGTTAATCAAATTAGCATAGTAATATATAGATAATCTTTTTTATATTATTTTTTATATAATTTTTACATATCATTAAATAAATTAATGTATTTAATATCATGAACCCTAAATGAATAAAAAAAATTAATTATTAAAATGATACGGAGGATTATACAAAAAATTATTATAAAAAAATTATCTTTAAATCAATTTTCACTAAATTAATATTGTAAAATATAAACTTCTAATTATTAAAATTAGTTTTTTAATCAATTAAACTTTAAATCATGATAAAAAAATAATCTCATCTAATTTTTAATCAAGTTTCTTTGGGTTTTTTTTATAAAGATTTTAAAATTTTATTTATTATCAATTCTAATTTGAGATTAACTTAATTTAACTAAACGAACCTGACTTTATGAGTCAAGTGGCGTTAGCCACTCTTGTAAGGTTCATTTTTTTCTCATAAAGAGTAACAGTTCTAGTCGGTTTTATGACAAAAAATTGTTCAAAAAAAATAATTTAATTAAACTAATAATTTTTTTAATTGAATTAATAAATTTGAAGCTAGTTCTTATAAAAAAAATAAAATAAAATTGGAATTAAAAAAGAAAAAGATTAGAAGGATGTAAAAATTTGTTTGGAAACTTAATTAAATAAAATTAGATGTTTATTCTTAAAACATTGATCGTTTGACCACGTGGCATTTAATTGGCTGCCACACAAGTTCCAGTGTAGATTTCTGCTAGTTCTGTAAAAATAGCTTCAAAAGGCTAGATTAACATTGGCAAAAGTTATCCGTTTGCCTTTTAATTTTTTTGAATTTGAGGCGTTTTACCTTTATATTATAATATATAATTTTTTATCTTTCATATTTTTTAGTTTAAGAAAATAA